CCCCAAAACCCCAAAACCCCAAAACCCCAAAACCCCAGAAACTCATAAAAATATTGATTCCCTAATTTCCAAATATGAAAACGTGTAAGCCCAAGTTCAAACCGAGTTTCCAAAAGATCAAGCCATCTTTGCGCTTAATGAGAAGTAACAGGACTGCCAAGAAGCCAGTTGTAAGTATCTCCCACATAAAACCTACAAGATATTGACCACCAAACGACCTAAATCTCCAATATCTTTAGAAACATCACCGCCCCTATACACACACCTCAATTCCTCACAATAACTCATTTAGCGTCTCTAGGGCCTCTAAAACATAATTTAACTTATTTTCGTACTTTTGGGATTCTTTAGAAAATAGATTATTATTTAATTTTTTGAAAAACAGCCTAACTTAAGACACTTGTTAAGGGAAATCTAGTAGAAGGGAAAGTGGATTTAGGATTATTTTAAGTGTAGAATTTCATGAATCAAAAGTTGAGGGGTTTCAGTGTCGCTCGAAAGGAAACATGGGGATTTTTAGAGAATTGTAGGGATTTTACTTTTATTTGTAGTTAAAGAGTAAGGGATGATGTTTAGAAATGAAAAATAGATGTCTGTTAAAGATCTGTTTATAATTTTCAGATCTATAAAAAGTAAACTCCTAATTATTATTGGTGATGTTTACTTTTGAGGAGATATTATAAAAGTTAAAGATGCTAAAAGGATAGCACCAAATTAATCTGATAATATTGTTAATATTCAAGAGCCATTATGAATTAGAACTCTGACCTTATCTTCTGATTACTCAAAAATTAATAAACTTGATACTATTAAAGCGAGTCTGATATACTTACCAAATTATGTAGGATCGAACACCAAAATAAAGGCGGGTTTACAGTAAATCCATTCAAGAAATTTCTGAGGTCTAAGAGATCGAGCAAGGTAAGGTCTTGGATAGTAAACCCCATTAGGCTATACAAAAGTCTCAGTTCACAATATTTATTGATTACTGAAATCATTAGCTTTGGCTTGAATGCATTCTGTTGGCAAAACTCTCCTAATCTTATTGCTTTGAGTGCAATTTTTGAATTCAGCCTCCACTAAAATAATTTTTGATTCATAATTCTTCTGAGTTTTCTTTTTGCTAAAAATTCATTTAGAGATTTCCCAACACAGTCTTTGGGAATAAAATGGCTAAGAACAACCTTAGGTACTATGAGGCATAATTTTTAGAAAATTTCATCTACTGAACAAGGAGGTCAGGAGTGTTTCTCCAAGAAAAAGAAATCTTGATGTGATGAATAACCTAACTCCCCATAAGCCAAGACCTAGCCTTTAAATATCAAAAATTTCACATAAACAAGTACTATTAAACCTCAAATTTAGGGTGGCAAGCCCAATGCTTAAGAACTTGAGACTAGCCAAAGTAAACAACAGGAGAGTGAGTAAGATCAAAAAGGCTGAGTACTCCGGACAGTTCTGCCTCCGACTGAAGAAGCCTAAGTAAGTCACTCTAATGGCATTGATTTACTAATTTGTTCAATGAATCTCTAATTTATTATAACATCAAATATTTTGGATACGGCTTTAAAGAATTTTTACTTTTGCGATATTTTGGGAAATTATGGTAATTTTTGGATAGAAAGAAAAGCGTAACCCAACTCCAAGGCTTGATAAGCGTGATAAAGAAGAAAGGTCTGAAGAGAATCGATGAAATTGAGCCACCCAAAGCGATGAAGAGTAAATCTACAGACTTTTTATCCCCTCTGGCCTCATTTTTAACCCTGGTGTAGATAGAGTGATGTCTCAGACAAAATATGATATTGCGGAGAACTATAGATATTCAAACTTCTCCGTATTAAGCTCAAGGAATAATGAACAAATTAGGAACATCAAGAGCTTCCATGAATTAGACCAGGAGGACTACATGAGACGTAAAAGCTCCTTATTTCATCAGTTCGAGGTTTATAAGTCTATTGATGCAGATGATAGCTCTCCCAGCATCCTTAGCAAATATCTTAGTGTGGATAATTTTGAAGACGAACAAAGTAAGTCAAAATTTACCAAATTTCCACCATCTTTGATCTATCATCTCGTTTTTTAGTATTTTTATTTGCTATCAAACCTTCTATGAGGTAATTTTGTACATCTTTCGATGAAAATTCTTATCTACTATCCCTCAGAGAGCTCTTACTGATATTTAAAGAAGCTATTTGCTATTTCTGAGCTTTCTAACAAATTCTATCAGACAAGAAAGCTCTAGATTTATGGAATCAGAACTCCATTTTAACCGTACTTATTATTTCTGACTCCATGACTGTATAATTATATAGATAAAACGTGCCTACCGAAGCTGGCAAATCATGATGGTGAAGACTTTTTCACCTTTACTCCGAAGAATAAGACTTAATTTATCAGTTAAATTAACTTTTGGTTGATTCATGAATATTTTATTTTTTTCGAAATTTCTAATCCCAGTTTTTGGAGCAAATACCAGAATTAAAAGATCTTATGGGGCCGTAAAATTCATTTTGTTATGAATTAGAGTTTATAAAATATTACTCAATCTATTTTAGTTCTTATCTAGCTGGTTTTGTTAAACTTGGTAAAACTTAGACAACTAGAATCTTAAATACTAAATTATTTTCATTTTCCTGTACACAGAAAGCAATAACTATTTCATACTTATCAAAAAAGGCTTTCAGTAATTTAGCTATTAGGACAAGGAATATCAATTTCTTTCATATTATTTCAATAAATGAGTTTGACAAGATTATTCAGACTATGAGTATCTTGAAAGCGATTATAATTTTACCTACTGGGCCTTTAACAAAAATAATAAAACTTAAAGTGCAAGAAAACCATATTTGAGCCCTTTATTATAAGTAACTCATCTCGAGTTGATTAAGATATTAAGACTAGCTGTTGAGATCAAGAGTATATACTCTCATTTAGATAGGATAACAATCATGGTAAATTACAGCTATTTTCGCCTCGACTGAACATACTCTATTAGATTTTCCATTTTCTCTTCTAAAGGTACATAATTTATCTACCACCCATCTTGGTCAAATCTACTTATTTCCAATTTTCAACAGTTTCTGGAATATCCGGGGTTTTGGGGTTTTGGGGTTTTGGGGTTTTGGGGTTTTGGGGTTTTGGGG